ATTACGGCGATGTCGTGTGCATTCTCCAAATCCCGAAGTCGGTTTCTAGGAAGAAGCTCGACGCCGCTGGGTTCGTAGTTCTCCAGAGAATTCACCAGGATTTCGTCTATAGCGAAATTGAACAAGAAGGCGGGTGCTGGGCAACCCTGTCTTATACCACTGGAGGTATCAAAGGAGGCGAAAGTTCGTCGTACACCCGCACTCGGTCCGAGGTTTGAGAGCAGGTGGTTTGAAGTAAGGCGACATACTTCTCTTGCACTCCGCTTTTCAGTAGACAACTCCAGAGATCAGCTCTGTTGACCGTCAAATGCGGCTCGTATGTCTAAGAAGATAACGGTACTTGGCTGGCCAAATCTTTAACGACGCTCGAGTATTTAGCGGTGTGTAAAGTTGGGATCGAAGCAACTCCGACCTGAGCGGAACCCAGCTTGTTCTTCAAGTTTGCTCTATGCGCGTACCAAGTTTATCCTCCTTGAAAGCAGAGCTGCGAGCATCTTGGAAGCAACACAGATGAGACTAATCCCTCTGTGGTTGGCGCAGTTAGTTCGCGTGCCGTTTCGGAGGACGGTCACGGCATCCGCTAGGCTCCGATCAGATGGGATAACTTCAGTGACCCAGATCTCGTGGAGGAGAGAAGTTAACTTCTGGACAAGTGATGGGCCGCCATATTTGTAACGAGCCGGAGGGAGTTCATCTGGGCCATGGGGCATTTGAGCGTCACAAGAGACGAAGCTCGTGGGCAACTTCAGCCTGAGATGGTGGTGAAGCGTCGACACACCAGTGAGCGCTCTGTGCTCCAGAATGGGAAGTCATTGGTGTCGTTAGCCAACTAAATTGTTGCGCAAAATGCTCGGCCCAACGCTCGAGTCGGCGTTTTGACAGTGGATTGGCTCCCCATTGGTTTCGCATAAAACTTTGCTTACAGTTGGCCTTTTACCGCCAGGAGATTGGATCAGGAGGAAGAGCTTACGGAAATGTCCCGAGGTGGCCGGTTGCTCCCTATCAATGACCCGTTGTGTCCACCAGGCCTCGCGACCTTTCCCGGGGAAGCAGTTTGAGCTCAGCGTTAGTAGTCTTGCATAGAGAATGATATTTGACACCAGCAAGAATTGCTCCACGCGCTGCGAGAAGTTGGAGGGATCGTGCAGATCCAGTGGTAGACGGGACTACCGGTGAAACCACAGACCAGGGTTGCAGAGTTGTACATGGCGCCGCGGATGTGTGTCCAGTGTGTTTCAATGTTCATGCGTGGAGCAGTCTTCAGCCGTGAGGCCAAGGTGTCCTGAATGCGTGGAGAAAGTTTGGTGCAGAAGGCTTAGCTACGTCAGACCGTTCCTGGCGACGCTGCTGGGAGTCACCACAACGTAGAGCGACCTTGGCACACACCAGCGCGTGATCCGAAGTGAGGTAGGTACTCCAGATTGCTTAGCAATCTTGTATGCAGCCCCGTCATCGATAACTAATTGTGAGGTGATCAAGTCGGGTCCATGGCTGACAGGATGATTGGGGTCTCCAGGTGGTGCGTTGGCGCCAGGATCCCCGAAAGTTGGTGCTCGACAGAAAGAGACCGTGATCTGCGCAAAGCTTAAGTAGTCGATCACCGTTGTCAGTTCTGTGAGTGCCATGAATGTGTTGACCACCGACATCATGTTGGTCAACTTCAAGTCTACCGACCTGAGCGTTCAAGCCCCCGGCGAGCACCACGATGTCAGTACGGCATTTGTTACGGAGAAGGTCGACCAACCATAGAACACATCTTTAACTGACTCCAAGCTGCAATCTGTGGGAGCGTATGCTGCGACAATGAATAAACAGCGTCTGTTGTCGCTGCGCCTGGACAGTCGCACTAAATTTTCAAGTCGGATCGCGCATAGTCGACTGTTGAGTGAGATCCAGTCTGGTATTTTGACTTCCGCACGTATGCTCAATGCACACCTCACGTCAGCATAGCCAGTGTCTTCGGCGTTTGAGTTTCCAGATAGGTGCAAAGTGAAAATGCCAGTGGAATTCGCAGACGATGAAATTAGTCGCACCGTCGTGCGAGAGTCCCGTAAACGGGTCCCAATTAGACAGCAGACATCAACGTTCGTAGTTCCTAGTGTGCGGGCACGAGCTGCGTGTGATGCAATCTGCATCAGCCTTCGAAGATGGAAGTTTGCCAGTTTGAATTTGAACGGGTCGCTAGAAGTGGCTTGCCAACACGATTTTGCACACCCTATGGCTTAGGCTCCTGATCCGTATGGCGAGATCGTTAGCCCAATGCGGCTCGGAGTTGTGAGCTCGCATACAGTGTGAGAAGCCCATGCGTAGGTTAGTTGATCAGACGTGGAATATTTGATTAAACGGTTAGGTTTGGCAGGTTCAGCCACCAGCGCCTCGGCCGATGAGAGTAGTTCGAGAGTGAGAGCAGATAGAACGAGGGCGGAGAGAGCAAGCGAAGAATTGTTGAGACGTGGATCCATAGGTTGTGTTAGCATGGTGCTGCCCGGTAGCCCAAGCCGAGTAGGGGGGTTGATTCAGGGACCTTATTCCGAGCTTTGGGTCATGAAAGATCAGACCTGCAAGGCAGCAGCGCGATTGACATATAACGCGATCCATTGGGAGCCGGCTATCTAGGTAGACATATAACGGCTTCGTGTAGAGGCTAAGTAATCAAGGCGCTCAAAGAACCCCAATGAAGCAGTTAGGAGGCCAGTGTTCCCTGGACTAACAAACTCGCAGTGAGACACGAAATCCGTTGACATCCGGGTGGCTCATACACATTTATCAAGGTTGTTCATCCGATCTCCATTAAATGCTTACTTCTTTGACCGGAATTGAGTGGTCAGTGACCTGTAGCCGGTCACATTGGCTTTGGTATTTAATGAGGAAACAGGTGACCAGCCCAAACCCCCAACGCTCTAGGACGCTGTCGCTGATTGTCCGCGACTGCTTATTCATCTCGTCTGCGAACAGCCGAGACTTATTCACAGTTACCTTCACAAGGAAGACATTCCGCGATCCGCAACCCGAAGACGCGCCTGGTTGTGTACAACTCCGCTGAACCAACCAGTGGTTGGTTCACTTCTGTGTCATTCCTACCGACTAGTAACCCAGGTGCCACCCAACACATCCAAAAATAAACTTAAACGATGAAAATAACTTGTATGTAGATACCGAACAAATGTTTTCAACCAATTGGGAGACTTAGTTACCCATATTCCGTCCTCTTCTATTGGTATTCACCTATTCCCCCATGGTCCGATGTGGAATATGTATGTTATTAATACACGAGAAAGATCTTAGGTTTTCGAGGACAAATTGTAGCACTAACTCAGTGCCGATAGATAGTAAGTAGAGACCAATACCTGCTGACATATATACCGTTTAGTACTACAACGACTACGCTGTACGGATTAAAGACCACCGCGTGCATTGTCCACAAATCCTTCCTGTTCTTTTTCAGATACCCACATCAGCTCATGCAATGTCACTACCCGATGGGGGTCATTCATTTTCAGAAATATAAATTGTGAATCTCCTACCAACTAGGGTCTAGAAAGCTTAAGGCTGGGGTATTGTTAAGTGCGTGTTTTTATAAAAGCAACGGAATACAGGATGACATCGACACTGCCCAAGATACGGATATTTGCTGTGGCTGAAAAGCGTCCCCAGCAGCTTCGCGTTACGCAAACGAAGGCGGAGCATACAAAATATAGAAACGAACAACGTTAAAGTGCGGCCTTATAAAGGAATTTACCAGTACGGCAGGTAACGTGTGCTGTCAATGATGAAACAAGCAACGCCCTAGCAAGTTTCAATTTGCACCTTCTACTCAGACCCATACGCAACTCGCACCTCCTCACGGTGATCATACTGAACAAACTAAAAGCTGGATTAGGTTTGTATTCGGGTAACTGCCATTATCTGTTAACCCTGTCCGCTCAGCTGGACGGTTGGCCATCCCATTTGGGCATGTTTCTGGTCACTCGCAGAGGCAAAAATTTAATATGATAATAAATGGCATGATCTGTCCAGATATGCTCTTAAATAAGATAGCATCTGCGTTCGTTGATTAAAAGTCTTACTTTTTAAGAAAATGATAATTTCAGTCAGCGCGAGTGACCGTTTTAGCGCTCTGGGTGATCAATTTTTGTGCCTTCGGCCGTCACAGTCGAACGCGTTTGGACGATCTTTGGTCACTCGAAAAGTTTTCGGTCTAGCTTAATGTAACTACCATATGGGAATACATTTCCTCCTAATGTTGACGCTATTTGCAACCAGAAAAAATACATTTACGATATATCCTCAGGATGCTTTGGAAAAACAATCTGAGCGACAAAAGTCGTCCCAATCGGGACGAATTTCGGTCACTCAAGAACCTTTTCTGTTTAGCCTAGCGGCTATACTATTGCTTAATTACAATTTGTGAATAGGTTTCCGCTTAAAGTTGACGATATTTACAAATAGGAAAAATGTATTCAAGCTACATGGTAAGGTTTGGTTGGAAAAATACATTCTAGCTGATCAAATGTAGTCCAAAAAGTGTCCAATTGGGACGGCCATGGGCACACAAGTCGATCACTCAGGGAGCTCTAATGGTCACTTCAGTGGACACATTTTGGTCACTGTTGCGGACAAGGAACTGTACACACCACTACTGACTCGCGTGACCTCATCAGCTGCGAGGACGCTTAGCTGTTCCCACATCCCAAATGCGCATGCGTGGTCGCCATATGAGAAAGATAGATGCTTAAATCGGAATACAATGGTTTCGCCTGCCACTTGATATCCGTGATCAGTCAGGTTACAAAGAAAGTGAACACTGGTTTTGTATTCCAACACCCGGATGTAGAAAATGGAATTTGAACATTTCTGGACCTGATAATTAAACTGGATTCAAATTGTCAAGATATGGGGTAGGGTTAGTTGTAGGGCTGTGAGAAGTATACTATCTCCAGCAAAGCTGAAAGTCCTTTCTGTTATTACCTAAATGAAGCATTACAACGTGTCGCAATACGTCATAGCTGGGGCTTTAAAATCGGCAACAGATTGGTAAACCGTTCTTTGATTGCTTCAATCTGGTGGTTGGCAGCAAAGCCATGATAATTACTTTGGTTCGCTGCGTCGGCTGTTGCGGTCATGGAGCTGTACACATTCGCAACAGTGTCCGTACTACTAATTTTCCAAACAAGATCGACCAAATTGGCTAGATACATCTCCAAATCACGTCTACGTTGGTCGACTCTCCCTGATTTACCGGCCGGTAAAGCAGTGTCTTCAACAGTGGGTTTCATCGTGCAACCCCACCAGCGGTACGAAGGAGGAGGAAGCAATGTAGGTATTCGCCGCTTGCGAGGAAACTGCACACGCTGCAGGCCAGGGAGGGGGCGAGGGAGACACCAATGTGCGTACAGTTCATTCACCGGAGAATCGCTGTCACTAGTGGGTTTCGTCCATCCCATGAGATCAGCGTGTAGTTTAGCTAGCGTGCTGTACCGGTGCTCGATCGTCCATTCATGAATAGTATTCTGTATGGACGATAAAGAGCCCGTTGCGTCCACTTTTTCCACCTGACTTATTCTAATATGTATAGTGTAAAGAATGTAACTCCCATGCACTGAATCCTTTCGTAGAATAGCACGGGGGATGGTCAGTTCTATCGGCGATCGTACAGTGGTAGAAGCTGGAGCACATTCGTATGTGTTGATGTTTTGGAGTAAATTGGAATCATCAGAATCAGAAGATGTCCGTGCGCGTTCCACATCCATTCACGGTGGAATCACTGAAAATGAACGGTACACAAAACGATGCAACCAGAAATATGACAAATGGTATGTGGATAAGTAAGGGGCTCTGTGTGACTGATTACACTGCTCCAGGAAAGACTAATGGTGGCATCTCATCCAATAGTATACATAGAATTTTAAGGACGAATATGTACTTACTCGATCCCTCTCACGTAGTGCGACAATTGAAAAAGAGACCCATCGTTTTTTCATGCAGCCACCTAAAGTTGCGCCTCGGTAGAGTCGGTCGAGTACATACATCTATCTAGCTGTTACACTATGAGGCGAAGGTAGGCCCAGGGCTTCCAACCTAAAACCATTGGGATGCTGGGGGTGCTCTGCCCACACACTCTTCGTAATTGCTTGAAACTCTGTACACAAACTCCGATCACTGAACAGCAGCCGGTAGCCCAGCCGATGCGGTGGAACAAGAACGAGGATCAGCGAGAAGCACGGTCTTATCGACCTTTGTTTGGTGGGCAATTCGAAAGTCTGGGTGCATCTCCCCAGCGGTGGTGCGATGGTACGCAGCAATCAGGAATTTGCTCGCTTCACTGAAATTGCAATGAACTCTCAGGTTCGCCTCATCCATTGGAATGATCCACATGCTGCAGACCATCTTTCCCCTTAACGCCACCCCGTACTTGAGCTTGCATTCGCGTTCACACACTTGTCGAGTGATTCAAGCTGCCCTTCAACATACAAACATGCAAATGTGTGGACTACGCTTATATTTTATCTCTCCGCACCAAGCAAGCGCGTGAGCGTGCCTCAGCACTTATGAGTACCCCATTCCCGAAGAATAAGCAACGCTGCGTGTCTAGAGCCATGGTTTGTTGCGAAGAATAAGCCACAGTTTTACATATCCCTGTGGTGGTCTGGCGTAGTGTTCATCAGTGCAATAAGGGAAAACTGATGGCACTTCTTTAGCCCCAAGACAACCACATCAAATTACGTGCACGTGAGACAAGTTTAGTGACATCAAACTGGTTTGATAGCACAAATATATGTCGGTTATTGAGATGGATATTTACATTTGAGTTCGCAGCATGAAATATTCCCATATCATAGAGGGTTGGGACTCAGTGCATCGTCCGGACACCTTTCAAATATTGATGGGGTGGGTACAGAACAGACTACCAGTGCGCTTCAATGATGAAGCACATGAAAAGAAAAGCAATTTCAAGATATCACAAGCGACTATACTACTCTGTTCGTTTTAAGGAGTGACCTCATAGGTTTATGTTGCCACTAAGTGGGTGGCGTAAAAAATTTGGCTTATGCAGGCCCAGGTAGTCCGACCTCAAGACAGCTCGCAATCAATGGTACCATCCCCTGACTACTCCCTAAGATCTCAACCTCTACTGGTATGGAAGATGGCGCGTCCTAATAACAACTCGCCAAGTATATCCCTTGTCATTTTCACTAAATAACCTGACTGAGTTGATGTTGCTTGGACTTACTGGTTAAAATGTAGCTAACTGACTTTGCTTTTCCTGGTGACAGGGATTAGAAGCCCTCTAGGTTAGATCCAATTTGTTTGATACGGAAAATGGCAAGGTACCGTTAGGTGAAGTGCCACCAAATTCGGATGATAAGCCAACGATGCTACCCAGAAGCGATTCAGTGAGCGATTTCAACTGATGCTTATACCAAGGCGCGTTGACAGCGATGCAGCGCATGAATTAGGATTAACGTACTAGATCTCGTCACTCCTAGCACTAATGGATTAAGGTGATCCTCCTAATCAACAAAATGTCGGATTTATATGCTGCTCCCAATAAGCAAACGCAATAGACAATTTCCATCGGTGTAATAGTGAACGACTCTAAAGGCGAAACATGCCCAGAGGAAAGGTCGCAGCCATGTGTTACAGGAGGTTCGCTCGACTTATCACGTCGTCCCTGTGCAACACGTGACTGCTTTGGCGAGTCGACCCACCATGACAGATTTGGGCACATAATCTACGGAACATAACACATAGGACCAAAACTCTTCAAGTCAAGAAATTGCTTTATGCAGCACACACAGCCATCTTACAACACTATGCAAGGTATTGGAGATAAACTGACTTAAGGGGCTGCTCGATTACATGATCGCTACCAACGGCTAGTTTCCTCTGCTGGTAAGTATAGTCCGTGCCTTGAACCGAATTCAGCTTCTCTTGATAACTAGCTAATTTCTCTAATAGTTGTTTGTGAGGTCCCCAGATAGGGGATTTTACAGCTCTTTAGCAAGCTTCGCAATTTTTGGGATGCGTGGTGTCAAATGAGTTCATCATTTTGTGAAAGCAACTTCTTTGATTGGATTATGCTTGGCAGTGCTCAAGTGTGCTTAGTTTCTACGTTGCTGAGCTAACTCAACTTTTTCATTGTTTCGACTCCGCCGCTGACATTGGCTTATGACATTATCTTCTTATGTTCTGCCGCATACTGCAGGTCGAATTAGTCATGAGGCACGTATGTCCAGCTAAGTCTGTTAATCAGTATAACACGAAGGGTTCACCGCGTAATCACCGGTCCTCGTAACTACGACACGACTTGATATCTTTCCTCATTTTGCCTTCCGTGCTACGGGGCCCATTACTGCCGAACCACTCGGATTGTTTGCAGAGGTGCAACATCGGTATGCCGAAGCTGCGTCGATTCCGATGGAGCTGGTTGTGAACCACAAGCCTGCAAGCAGTCTGTACAAATTAGTAGAAAGCTGGTGATGTTACGGTAGTAGCTAATCCGACAACCATGGATACCTCGAAAACATTTAGATTCCTGCATCATTTTCCTACAGAGTTACCTTTGCCCATCTCAGATCTATGAAACCAGCTGCCATGTCCCAAGATGGCAAGCGAGTTCCTTCTTCAGTGGTGGCACACAATGATGACACTTCTTGGAAGAACCAATCGCATATAGTACGACCCAAAGAAGAAGTCACAAAAGGAACCAATTTGGATTAGAAGTGCAGCCACCTTCATTGTTAACGAGACTATTCCCTTCGCATACGTCGGTCATCGAGTGCACGTCAAGAATCAAGCGTTTCTACCTCCACGCAGCTGAATAACATGTTCCCCGAACGTTGATTGCACTACAATGAACCATTCATTCCTATGCTATCATCCTTCGTCATAACTAAGATAATAAAGTCAGCTTACTGATGACATAGACGGTATGAGCTGCTATACCCCGTTATCAAGACATGTACTGGATGACCATTATTAAACAGGAATCTTTGATCTAACCATGTAAAACACAATCCAGGGAATGAAAATGCAAAGCATTTATACTTACGCCCAGACTAAATCAGACCTCTACTTGTCTCAATGCTTTCCTTAGCATTTTCCTTAAGAGTTAGTTTGTATTTTCGCTCCTCTGCTTGTTTTTCTGAGGTCCGCAACTCACCATTCGGTATGATGACCGCACTGGATCTGACATCTGGGTACACCGTAATGTAATTTTCAAGCATCGTCTTGACCAACTAAACTAATCTGAAAACCTGCTCAAAAAGCCGTTCTACCATAGCTTTGAACTACTGAGCCGTTACTTAAAGTGGATCATTTTAAAGAGGTCAGCGCATAAGATTGTTTTCTCTACCTGTTTGGCCCGATCGTGAAAGCAACATTGAAACTGCTCAACTTGCACTGATTTAGGTGACACAAATTTGTTCGTCATCAGCCCACCCGAAAACGATTAGTGGCAGACCTTCCACCGGTCGCAGCAACACCCCAGCCATTCGTGTTGAACGAAATTTGCACATGTGATGTGCTTGAAGCTTAGTTACTGGGCATGGTTCCGCTTACCCGTCTGGATGTCGACAATTCCTAGTACAACGATCAGTGTCAATGCCTATGTGCCGACTTATTAATGGTCTGCCAGATTCTAGGGAACCCAACCATGTCTGCCGCCACCTTTTACACTTATGGACAACACGATCTTGATGGACCACCAGTGCAAGTCACGCAGTACAGCTGGCTAGAATATTGTCTAAAGTTTTGCTCTTTTACCTGAGTCCCAGGCTTGGAACGCCCTCCCAAATTGAGTTGTTTCCGCTCACACGCCTTGACGTCGCACTAACCCACCAATATTACGAACTATAGCCTGTGTACATAGAGCGACGTTATAATGTGGCAGAAGTTTCACAAGCAGCACTGACCCACCTAATCGAGACCGGCTCTCTTATGCATGTCTCCTTGTAAGCACTATGGCGAGTTCAATAAAAGCTATTGAGTTTATCACCATGTTTACTTGTCTCCATTTCTAGGGTTTTCAATCTTGCCATCCTAGGGGACTTGTTATGCATTGGCTTTTTTACCCGTGGCAGACCATTGTTCCATTGGAATACAACTTGCGCCTGTACAGAAATTCATACCCTAAGGCACTAGTTTCGATATGGTGAAAGAACTCAACAGCGCTCAGGTTTAGCATTACAACTAAAATCCTCATACTCATAAGTAGTATAAAATGTGACCTCTCCTAGTTTCAAATACTATGGACATAGCGTCCATAGCGAGAGGAAGTTATGACCTGGGAGGCTAGCCACTGTCATCTGCACTGGTAGAAACCTGCGTAGCAGTGGAGGACAAGTGTGCTATATCCCAGTTAGCCCACAAATTATGTAGCCCAGTTGCTGTCCCCCATGACTCGGTGACTTAAACTGCTGTCAAGTTGGCGTCAGCCCCTGTCGGTCATGGGTTCGATCCCCAGCACGGAACCGAGGGAATGAGCACCACTGACGAGCCCCAATAGGGCGAAACGCTTATGGTGCTTTTCCGGATTTTGGTTGAGGTATGTAGCTTGTGAGCTGTTTGGACGAATACATTAACATTACGAAGATCCTAAACTTGCACCCATCGATTTATGTCTAGGTGTGTGTTGTGCTCGCAATTTTATCAGCTTAATTCAAACTGGAGTCCAACCGACGAGTGCTTCGTGGACTGGAACAATGTAGGAAAACAGCTCGTGAAGCATGTGATCTGTGTCAGTTATCTG